GTTTTCCTTACTAGTTCCAGTGCTATTTTCATGTAATACAAGCAAAGTACCTCAAATAACAACCAGTTAACACAAATAAGCTTGATTTTAATTTCTTATAGAAGCACAGAGTAAATCTTGAATTAACTGATATTCTGGGACAGTGCTATTTCAAGAGGTCCAACAGGGACAGTATTTTGAAATACAGACCCACATGGTGTGAAAACCACATGGCTTTTTCCTCTTCCTACATGCAGGCAGCTCTGACTCTCACAGAATTAAGCACACACATTGAGAGCAGAACAGCAGACGTGATGACACAACGAGATGCAATACAGATATCATTTGCTAAGCAGACTCCTGAAGTCTGGAAGGCAAGCTTCCCTGCCATCACTTGCTTCATTCCCTGCTTCATCCTTTCCAGACCTGGGAAACTCAAGAACTAATTATACAGCCAAAGACACCCTCAGCAGTGAGATATCTTTGGAGTATTTTTTTGGTCCACTAGAAGTTAACTGTCCTACCAAGAAAAAATGCACTTTCCTCTAGCCCCATTCCCACACACACTCCCTACAGCTATTTCCACCCACGCTACAGATCTTTTTAACTGTGTTTAAAAAGCTGAGAGCGAGAGAAATATGCTGCTGCTGGTGGTGCTCCTCCTCCTCAGGTGGGCGGGTTGGTAGCTGGTCAGTTTTCTGCAGCATTTCTCATTGCTAGATGCGTGGGAGGCTGAGAGCAGAAAGGGAAGGAAGCGGTCCTCTTAGGAAGGGAGGCGTATCAAAGCGAGTGGGAAGCAAATAGCCCCTTCCTACCTGCACATGTGCAATTATATGCAATTGAAAAACTAACACAATAGATCTGCAAGCAGAGCTTTCCAAGCTGTAGTCCTAAAAGGTATCAAACAGCTTGGGTCTCAAAGCCAAAGTCGGGGGTGACCAGATCTCTGGGAAGATAGCATTTTTCACCCACGGAGAACAGGCTCGTGGGGAGGAAAAGGAGGAGGGAAGAGGGCGTTCCTTACAGTTATGGCTTTGTACGTAGGTGGAGGGTGGTTCGGGGAGAGGAGTGACAGATTGCTTGTGGCAGCAGGGAAGAAAGATGTAGGAGGGTGTTTGCCCAGGGTCCCGTCTCACCCAGAGGGTTCTGGCAGGGTGGCTGCAGCACGAGTGCTATGTCTAAGCCGGGGTGGTGGGAGGAGAATAACTCACTGCTGGATGGACCTCGCTTGGATCCTCTCTGGTTTTCTCATCAACACGGCAGCATCTGCAGCAGCACCCAGCCACTCCCACACTTTCCCCGGTTCTCTCTGAGGCCAAAAGAAAATGAAAACTACTTCGCTCACGTAGTTCCATTATGTATTTGCTTACAGCCTTTTCCAAATACTTTCTAGTTCCCCACTGATAAGATGCAAATTAACCGGTGAAGGAAAAAAAAAAAGGGAAAATTAAAAGTTGATTTTTTTTCCCTCCCTCACATACTTTCTTCTTACAGGAGAAATTCACCACTGCATGCTGTATGCCCTCATCCCAAATCTATGATTTCAGATGTTGTATGGATGCATTATCTGAAAGGTCTCTGAGCAAAAGCCCTGGGAAGGCAGGCTGTTCACATGAGATTACTCAGGTTACAGACAAAAGCAAAAATTTGTTTCTCCTTATTACATAGGTGTTTCAGTCCTTCCTTGGGTTGGCCTGTTGTTAGAGAGGGAAGAAACAGATTAGTTTTCTGTTTATTTTAAGTCTAGTTCTGCTCTCAGTGATGTCCCTGGAAGACCCTATAGCAGACCTGAGTATACATTGGATTGGAAGTGGCCACTTGGCTACTTTACTATTAGGTACCTAAGCTGGCACGTGGAAGTTCCAGCCTTGTGTGTCACCTGTTTTAGAGGGCTGTCAACTGAGTCTGGACTGAGAAATAACAATGTAAGGATTGTTTGTCAGCACTGTAATAACCAGTTAGCAGTCATGAACTGGAAATTTTCCCATTCTGTTCCTCAAACCTTCACAGTCTCATTTTCTCTTAACCTTGACATGCTGTAAGTGCACTTACTACCCACACATGATGTGTGCCAGCTGTTAGACCAGCAGAGGAAAAAACTGATTTTACAGCAAACCTGGAAACAGCAGCATGGGACATGATGAAGTACTCATACCATTTATTATCTGGTCTTGGTCAACTACTTTGGGAGCTCTGAGAGGCAAATGTAAGGCACAAATTAATGGTTAACTAGGGGTGTACAGGTGGCACACAGAATGCAGCTGAGCTGCTCTTGGAATCCTTCTTGAGAGCAAGAGCTCCCACATTCTAAAGTTATATGTTTTTCTGGAAAATAAAAAAAAAAAACAAAAAACCCAAACCAGAAACAAAAGCTGAAAACATCTGCTCAACTCTGAAGACCTCCTACAGTCTGCAACTTGTTTTTTCTTTTCAAACCTGCTGAACTTGCTGCCAGGAAATTTCTCAAGGGGGAGGAATTACCACCTGCTTATCCTTCTGACTATTGCACTTACACACTCTCAGTTCCCAGCTTGGTCCAGTATTGTGCAGCCCTCTTTGCCAAGAGTAAAATAATCCATAAACTCATAGGTTAAAGGTCATCTCATTCTGCTTATTCTCAGGAAACTACATTATTTTTGCTCTTTTTCCAGTACTTACTTAGAGAACTCTTTTATTTACTTTTTAGAAAGCGTTTTCACTTTGATATTCCACTCTGAAAAAAAAATGGGGTGTGCAGGAGGACTATCAAAAAACAGGATGATATCTGAGTTGATTTTTGGACAGGACTGCTGTCAGCTAATCGGCTCTAAAAAAATAGCAATTTTCTAACATCTATGAATCCCCCACTCCTAAAAAACTATAAGTAAATTCAGGCCATCACCATCAGGTTTTAAAATGAAGGCTCAAGGAAGATGGCTCTTCTGTTACCACTACTTCTTCTTAAAAATGACTTAAAAAAAAAAAAAAGAAAAAAAAGAAAAATAATTTAAAGAAAAAATTAATTAAACACAAATTCAACATCAGCACTGTGGAGAGTAATCAGTAGTTGTCTCAAGACAAGGCTTGCTATTACTTCATTGTTTACAAAGGAGTAGGCCCACTTGTGTCCTAAATCAGACATACAGCTAGAAGAACACAAAGGGTTTATACCATTATTTACACAGAGGACAGGAGGAGAACAGATCAAAATCAGCATAAATAAAAGATGAATCAGATCACCAGCTTCTATTTTGGACCCCTAGAAACAAACATTCTGTGAAATCATGTCCTGATCACAGCCTTGCCTATGTGCAGGTGGAATTTGTTAGATTTCCAGGGGTTTCAAACAGTCTCCACCTGCTCTTTCCCAAGGTTAGCTTCCACACACCCATTTCTTCATTTTCACAACAACACTAAGAAAGACATTATCCCACAGAAAAGTTGTTTTCACATTGTCTGTGAAATGTAGAGACTTTCAGTCAGAGGAAATAAGAAACAAAAATATTACCTGCTTATCAAACTCACTAATTAGTAATGCCTGGATGAGAGTTGCAGAGTTTTAATTTTTGAAATATGTATCTAAGTCAGGGTTCAGGTGTGCCAGCTGTGATAATTTGGTGTCATTTAGTCTGGTTTAGATTTAATTGCATGGCACTTGGTACAAAACAGCATACAGGGCTGTCAGTACACAAGATGACACCAATAAGCTGCATCATTGATTATTATGTAACCTTTAGGTGAAAGTTTGAATTGTTGGAATCACCTAATGAATTATTCCAATTAATTAGCTTGCAGTAGACAGTCTCTCAGTGCTTGCAAAAGCACGTCATGTCCTGTTCTCATTTTTTTTGTTCACATTGTGCAAGACTGAAAACTGAGACTGCATTAATACAGAAATGTTCTGTTTGTGGGGTGTTTTTGGTTTTTTTGTGTCTATTTAGTTTCATTAAAATTTTTACAAACAGATTTAATATATTCTGAGAGTCATTGCAACGGAAATGCCAACACAGATGACACTGATATAAGCAGGGGCTGAGTAATTTTAGAAATAAAGAGCAAGGTTGCCCTCTGGAGACTTCTCTAAGGGCCTTCTGAGAGCCAGGACTTTCTTCTTCTTTCAGAAAAATAAATGTGCTAAAAGGTTTTAAGATTTTTTTTTTCTTTTAAGTACGAATGTGAATCAAAGCAGCTGATGCTAATAACTTGTGCACCAAGATATGATGAAGCTACATTTCAACCTAATGCACTATATTATCATTTATTCCATGGTTCATCATGTCTCTTCAGTATCAGTCTCATATGTGTCAGCCCAAATAAACATTCATTGAATGGTCTTAGTTACTGAAATCAAAGTGAATTTTGTATTATTGTCGCCTAGCATAATGAATTCTCAAGTGCCTTAATATATTATTCTTTGAAAAGAAAAGGCAATTTTCACAGTTGCAATTTCTGAGTCTATTTATGCTGAACACACCGGCTGTATTTGAGCCCACAGTTGTCTGCAGCTACTGTTGGGGCAGTAACCGTGCTAGTTCTTAATCCGTGTATTTACCTTCACGGATAAGCGGTTCTGGGTGGGATGTTACACCGGAGCGGCTCCTCAATCCCACCTCACTCTCTGTCCGTGTGTCAGCAGCTGTGAGGGCAGCACGCGTGCTTGGTGTTTCAGGTGCAAAGGATGAAGAGAAGCCGGGAGGCCAGAAATTAAGAAACCAGTCTTACTGCTGAAAATAATAAACCGCCTAAAATGCAGCTCCAGCCTACTAAGCTCTGAAATGCGAAGCAATGCGAGCTTTCCCCACCTTGAGCAGCAAGCACCACGGGTGATGTTATTACTACACGGGGCATTACTCGCTTCACCGGCAAAGCAGCTGCATCACCAAATGCCCTCACAGCACCCGGCCTTATCCCGGACGGGGAGCAGCACCCCTTCCCTGTCCGGGTGAGGAATCCGCCGTGGTCATTGCAAAAGGGCTGTTCGCGGAGGCGAGCGGCCAGCTCCGGTGCCGGCGGCGCCGCTGGCCCCTCAGAGCGCCGCGCATGCGCCGCGGGCTGTGCCGCTCCGGGGCCGCGGAGCGCTGAGGGAGCGGTGCCGCCATGGCGGCCCGGGCGCTGCAGGCGCTGCCCAGGTAACGGGGTCCGCCCCGAGGGGCTGAAGCGGCGGCGGGGAGCGAAGGGAGCGGGGGCCCGAGCCGCCCGGGGATCGCAGCCCCGCAGCTGCTGCGAGTTATAGTTTGGGCCTAGATCAGCCTGGCTTTCACTAACTTTCACCTTCAAAAGCGAGCATGTGATTAAAAAACAGCATACCGCGGTGTTGACGCGTAACATGTAGTTGACTGGGTTTGTAAGTGGCAGAAAGGTGAAGTTTCTCATTCCAGCTGTGATGCGTGGCCAGCACAGCCTTCCTCATGGCCATTAATAAATAACAGCCTCGTTGCTCAAAACGAGTGGCGTGTTCACAAAGTCTGACAGCGTGCGTCTCCTGTCACCCACAGAAGCACGAGCACTGTGCGAGCTCTTACACAAGCCCTGTGTAAATGTTTGTAAAATTGTGTGTACGCACCAGGGCGGGTTTGTGTCACGGAAGTTTTTGGAAGCAGACAAGGTTTTTGACGAGACCGTTTTTATTTATTTATATATTTTTAAAAAGTCGGTATTAAAATGCGCCTGCAAAAAAGCTGCAAATCGTTTTAGAAAGACACACAGAGTGTCAGTCATATCCCCCACCCCCTCTGTCCTGGTATTTTCACACTCTCCTGGCTTGAAAACATTGGTATCTGCTATCTATTTACTAGTAAGCAAAGAATTTCCAACTGTTGCAATAACAAAATAGTGCCCTAGTTTAATTGATTCTAATCAGGGGAACGTAAAATGGTTGTGTTCCCAAATTTTTCTGCCACTTCTTTGCTTAACCCAGCAGTCAGATATTCTGGGCATCTTGTGGCTGGTTTATGGTTTTAGCTGTCTTTTTAATGTTTCTTTTTCAGGCTGAGGGCACTCAACAGACTGCAAGTAATATTACAACATTTGGTAAGGACAGAATCACGTTTGACTGAGCTGGAAGCTTTCAGTTCTCTTTAACTCCCCTGAGGCACACAGCACATGCAGCAGCTAATGTGTCTGCACACAGTGGTTCTGAACACTGTTGTTTGTTGCTCAGGCATAGTACTGCCCACATCTGTGAGCACTTTGTTACAGGTGTCTATTATACTGTAAATTAAAGCTTGATTATTTTGGCTTTGCTTTATAGATAGTTTCTGTGTTACCTTCCATAAATTCCTTAATAGCATCCCACTGTGTGTTTGAAAATAGTTCAGGGGATTTGTTTTCTACTGTTAAAAGTCATTTAAAGCAGGGTGTATGTTTGGGGTTGCAGTGTCAAACTACCAGTAAGGATATATTGAACTGTCATTGTTCTAATTGCAAGTATTTTCAGAATGTCAGTTTTAAGGAGCCACAGGTTTGTGTTTCATTGGTAGGGTGGGGAATTCTTTGGGTTTTTTGTTGTTTTTTTTGGTTTTTTTTTTTTTTGTGTGTGTTTCCATTGAAAATTTATGTGAAGTGAATTCAAAATGTTATTGTAAAACAATGTGTGGTCCAAAAACTTTTCTGTGGCTCGTTACTCTGAAGGACTCAAAGTAGTTTCCAAAGAACTGTTTAGGAAATGCAAATAGAGGTACAGTGGGATAAACCTAGCATACAATTCTAGAATGCACACTTTGTGATCCTGTATAGTGTGTTTTGAGAATAAATTTCCATAAACACTTTTGTAAATATGTTTGTAAGTTACCTAACTGATGACATTTGCTTTGTTTATTTGTTTTTGCATGCACAGAAAATGTCTAAGCAAACAGATTCAACAGCAGAAGTGTTGTTGGAAAAGAAAGGAGGTGCAGGAATAATTACTTTGAATAGACCCAAGGCTCTCAATGCACTAAATCTGTCCATGATCCAACAAATTTATCCTCAAATAAAGGTTAGTAGCTCCACTTCTACCCATCCACTATACATATGCTATTTGAAACCAATTTTAAAGTGCAGTTAAGACACTTCCTAGTGTACTGATTTAAAGGATGAAAGTTTGTGTGAGTACAATGAGCTCAGATTTATGGCATGGGAAAAACCAGGCAGTTTCAAGCAAGTTAGGAAGAGGAGACGCATCAAAGAAAGGAGCTATCAGACAGAGTTAAATTTAGCATCTCTGTAGGTAAATGGACATCCATGTTAATACCAGGACTGAATTAAGAGCAGGCAGTGCTCAGCATTTATGTGTTCCTTTTGGCAGCACCCACCTAGTCAGTTGGCACAGATTTCAACCTATACAGTGGTGTTGTCTCTTGATGGAGTGCATGTTTTGTGAGGATGCATGGCTGAAAATAAAATATACCGGCCACTAGGAAGCAGGAGGCTGTCAGTGTCATTCCTTAAATCAGAACTCATGGATTTACAGGCCCTGTTTCCACAACCTAGTGAGATTTTAAGCATGAAAATAGTCTCTTTTAATTTCATGGTACCATTTACCATATGCACAGAGTCAAATTCATTAGATACCAGTATTTGTTGGATAATTTTCTGATGACTTTTTGGTATTTATTAGACATTTTTGAAGCACAGCCTGAAATGGTTTCATAGTTTTTGATTTCTGTCAGGCCCTGTTCTGTGAGGTGCTACCATTCCTCAGAGGCTGAGAGCTGTGCACAAGAGTTTTTCTGAAATATGAAAGGCAGCTCTGCTAATCTCTGCTCTCATGGTTGAATAGGATGCAGAAGTGGCAGAAAGACATTTAGATCCCAAACTTCAGTTTAAGACAATCTATTTTAAAGTATGGCTTGATTTGCTTTTTGAAAAAGTAAAGTAAGAATTATAGACACTATACAGATTAGGTATTATTTACACAGATTTTAGTCTTACGTGGAAATATTTACTTCTTTTTAGACATGGGAGAAAGATCCTGAAACTTTTCTAATAATTATAAAGGGAACTGGAGGAAAAGCTTTTTGTGCTGGGGGTGATATCCGAGGTAAGGACTATACTCACTTAAACATTTCATGTCTTTCCCGGTCACTGTTTTGTGTTGATTTCCTTTGTTTACTGTGACTCAGGTAAACAAAATCTTGCTACACAAGAGTAAGAGGTCAGTTGTGCTGACTCTTATGACACCTTGATGTGCAGATGCTATTTAAGGTATTTGTCAGGAGAGAACTATCAGGACAGTGTATAAAAGAATAAAAGTTACATTTTTTATGAATTCCAGCCAGTCATTCCAGGGAGGAGAGGGTTCTTGTCTCTACATTTCTCTTCTCAGATTTTCATTACTGGCACCTTCTTTCCAAGAAGTTTGAAGGGCCAGAACAGGTAGCTCAGATAGTATTGGATAATTTGTGTCTAATGTTTTAGATGGCTAGATACAGATCTGACAAGGGTGATCAATGTATCTGTGATTATATGTTTTTAGCTGTGAACTGCATGAAATCTCTGAAGTGTCAAAATTAGCAGTTGTTGTAAACTGTAGGTAAACAAACAGCACAGGTTATTGTTATAACAATATATTGTTATGTCATGCTCTAGTTGGCTTCTTATTTTTTGTATTTAGAGTCTTTGTTATAGTCACTTTTAAGTGACCATTCTAAATGTTGGTATGAGAAATATCACAAATGAGTACTAGACATTAGGAGGGGTTTGAAGATGGACCACACTCTCACAAGTATGTGACAAAATCTCCAGCAAAATACAATTAAATCAAATTTGAGACTTATATTCCTATATTTGAGATAAATATTTAAATCTGAGCAAATTTTCTCAAATATAATAAAGCAGAATTAAGTTGGTCTGTGTTTGCTGTAGGAAAAGATCCAGCTTATAAGACATTACTTTCTTTTACTTGTATTTTCTATTAAGCTTACAGTTATCTTTTGGATTTTTATTTCTTTTAAGCCCTCACAGAAGCAGGAAAAGTTGGAGATAAACTGACACAAGATTTCTTCAGAGGAGAATATAGGCTGAACAATGCCGTTGGTATGTTAATAGCAATTTCTGAAACAGTACAGTTATCATAACACATACTTCAAATGTAAATTTCTCTCTTTGATGATTAAAGACTGTGATAACATCAGAGAAGTAGTAATTTTTTTTTACCAAGTTCAATACCAGTAATATAACATATCCCATTTCTATATCTTGCATACAGAATGTATTTCTTTTGTTTAAGTTATTGTGACAGCTACTTTATCCTATCCCATTGTTCTGGTTAGTTCTATTTCCTCTGTGGAAGAATTAGCTGTAGACACTGCAGTTCTGCCCTAAGTATCATTGATCTGCTTCAAAGAAGACCTGAGGTAAATATAGATGTGAGGAAAATCATTAATATTCACTCAGAAAGCAGAAGATCAAATTATATTAAGGCTTTCCATTTAAATAGACTGCATGAAAGTCTAGGGCTGCGTAACTCAGGACTGAGCTGCCTCAGTTTATTGCAAAGACACTGGGTAAAGTTTACTGGAGTAAAGCATATTAAAAAAGGATATTAAGTCTTCAGGGTAAAAGTCAAGAGTTGAAGATTTTGATAAGCAACTACTCCAAACATATTTTAATTGAATACAGTTTGAGTTTTAAAATATGGTATCCAGTGTTAGTCACTACAGGAGGAGAGGTGGTGTTGCTTACATTGACAGAAGAGCACAGCTATTGGAGTAATTCCTGAAAAGTTACTTTTGCTTTGTTTGACATAGTTTCAGGACTGAGCATGCTTGTCATGTACTTTTCTTTCCTTCACCAATACAAAGCAAAAAAATAGTTTAAGGTTTCAAATAGTTGGGGAAAAAATAGTATTACCTTGCCAGTTGAACTTGATGATGATTCTGTTGCAAGGATACATACTTTAAAATCTAGTTTTTATTTTTTTATTTTTATGAGTATTAGGTGTTCAGTGTCTCTAATGCATGTAATTACAAAACATAGTTTTTGGATAGCTTTAGTATGATTATATTCCTTTAAGAGTGAGATTTCTGCTTAAAATATATATATCTTACATTTTGCAGCTTAAAAGTACAGCGGGGAGCTGCTTTCACAGCATTGCTGTGGGAAAGGCTTGCTGCTATAGAAATTTGGTTCAGGGGGTACCATCTACAGCCAATGCACTAGCTTGTATATTCATCTAAGAACAAAGTTCAAAATACAATTCTCTTAACATTTTCTAATTACTAATTTGAAGGATTGGACTGTCTTTTAAAATTTTTTTTTTAAAACAAGGTTCTATGTAGTTGTTACAGAAAAACTTGCAATGTGGTTGCAGGGGATTCCTGTATCACCAGTCTTTTTGGACTGTAAGTCTGACCTGAAAACACTGACAAGGCAGGTGTTTCATTCACAGTGAAGTTTTGAGTCATTCCATGAACGGTAATTGAAAGCATTGTGGCTTTAGTTTTGTGCCTTCTAAAGGCCCCAAGAGATGAAGTTGGTAATTCAGGACATTGTCATCTGAATTTGCCTCCACCACGTTCAGGGTTGTATGCAAGAGCAGGCATGACAGAACATGCCTGCATTGCAGAATTTCTAGTCACGTTGTGACTGGAACCTGCCCATACTTCTGGCTTTGTAGCAGTGAAAGGCTGGAACACACGCTGTCCTCTTAATCCAGATTGTGAGAGGGGTTGAAGGGGCATCTGCTGCGTCCCACCATCAGACAAAGCTGTGTATACTGGTTAATCTGTCATGTACTCACACAACAAACAGTCCAATATCTGATAGTGGTATAATGTTCTTCTACAACACTCACAATCCAGTAAAACAGAAACTAGTGTTTCTTTTAATTTCTTAAGAATTACATGAGGTACCTTCATTGTAAGATGATAATATGATTACTGCTTAAATTCTCATTTATTTTCTGCTGCTCTTGCTGAAGTAAGACATAGGGACACGTGTCATATGGCAGCTAGTCACAGGTCCACTCTTGAAAAAGATGGATGATAGTTTTCCTTTACATTTTTTACAGGCACCTGCAAGAAACCATATGTGGCACTTATCGATGGCATTACGATGGGAGGGGTAAGTTGAGGACCTGAGTGTGATACCTGATAGAGTGTTTTAAAATCATGTCATGTCTGTGAGTTGAGAAGTGGACACAAGGCATTTCCTTGAAGAACAAGCATCATAATCTGAACCTTTGTCTCTTGCTTGTCTCTCTCTTGCTTGTCTGGATACACTGCTGCTCTTGTAGGGCCTCTGCTGTTCCTTGGTAGCTAACACAGGTTCTTTCTCCAGTAAAAGAGCAGTCACTTCACTTTTAGAGATAGCCCTCACAAAGGTTTTCAGAATACTGAGGGGGAGTTTATATATCATACAAAAGCTGAGAATAATTCTACATTCTTAGTATATTAAAAATAGAACTATATAAAAATACATTTAAAGAACAACTCTGAAAAATGGTGAAAGTTCTAAGCTACAGCTTAACAGATATTCATGTATTTTTCCAACAAATAATCTGGAAATGCATTTACTTTATCACCTCTGTAGTACTTTTAAAAGATCATTTGTGTGATCCTGATTCCACACACATCTCACCCAGGGCTGCACCTTATCACTAAAGCAACATAGAGAAGACTCCATTTATTTCTAGTTATACTCAGTGTTAATAATTTCTTCAGCAATTGTCTGTAAACACCATAAGTAGAGTTAACAGGGCAATGCCATGCTTTATTTACGTAGTAAAATTCTGTTTTAGTGAGTTCACATCTGTAGGGTATATTTGCACCACATGAGAGTGGACTAAGATAATCTTCAGTTATTTTGAACGAGTTTAACTTACGAAGCCTGTCTGCCATGTCACTGCTGAGATTTATATTGTTTTCTGGTATGTCCCTATGCTATGGGTATAGAGTGTATTTAAATAAAGCTTGTCAAAGATAGATATGAGAAGTGGAACACTACATGATCCATGACCTGTAATGACTCTTTCCTTTTCATCTTCCCTTAAAAATTTATTTGTCTGTTTTGGTCTTCTCAGCTTGTGATGTAAACATGCAGTAGCTCTCTCACCCTTTGCTACCAAGCCCCAAAGATCTCAGCTGGAGAGCCATTTCCCCCAGCCTAGCATACATACATTGTCTCCAGCATAAAGGGGATTTGTTCTGTAGCTCTTCTTGCAGAAAAAGTACTTTATTTACCGTAGGAGTCCTGAAGGTTCATAGATAAGAGATGGGGAGTCCATTTATTTTATGGACTTTTGAATAATAGGATGGAAAGCTATGAATGAGCAAGATTGCCCAGCAGCCAATATCTTTTTAAAGGTCTTGCAAAATGGCTTGTTATGACTGTGGCCTGAGCAGAAATAGAATTTTGTCCTTTGAAAGGAAAGTGTATTTTTGGACTGAAAAGAACATAATGGAGTCAGATGATCCTGCATTACTAAGATTCTTCATGAATTCTCTTTCCTCTGAAGAGCTTTTAAAAGGCAGCAATTAGCCTGAAACTTTATTTTGGGTAATCGGATTTGGATATCCAAATTTCAGTGTGACTGTGACAAAGTTTAACTGCCATTAGGGTTTGAATGGCAACTTAACTTGCTTATCATATACTAGAAGTAGCATTTATCTTTACTTGTGGGTACAAGATTAGATTTTGACTCAGGAGGTATGCAGACTGATTTCAGAGAACTAAGTTAAAAATCACAGAAGTGTGTTAGAAACTCAGTTGATATGTGCTTGGATAGTAAAAGTTGCTACTGGTGCGCAGATGCCTTAGATCTGTGATAGTACAACCTAGAATTCTATCCAAAAAATGAACTGGTTCCACTTCATTATTGGCTAGGGGCTGGTAGGTGGCTTTGGGAGCTTCATTAGCCAACAGATGGGGCTGTGGAGCTTGTTCTCAGCAGCTTGTCTGTTCTGTTGTTCATCAAATATTGATATTCAATATAAATGTATCTTTTCATCTTTTTGTAGTTATTTGGAGCAGTAAGTTCAAATTTGTAAGACAAATTAGTTAGAAGCAAAGGTGACTGCAGTTTACTGAAAAACAGTGAAATTAGTTATAAGTACCACATTTACTGCTAAAGGATGTGCACTGTTGAAAGGAACACTGGGTACACTCTCATGTTGCTAAAAACAACTTCAGATTTAGCTAATTTCTATCTGTAAATTTTCTTTTCCTTGAAATTAAGTACCTGAACAGTTGACAAGAAGTTCGAGTTGTTTTTCTTAAAATACTGTCGTCAGCAAATGACATTCTAAGTTTGGTCTTCTTGGTTTTAGAAAAGTCACAGTCTTGTCTGAAGTTCCTTGGAGATAAATGTAGGTGATTTATAAGATCAGTCCAAAGCTATGGTTTTAAATAGGGCTTTGGCACAAAATATGTTACTGCCTCAGATACTCTCTAGCAGACAAAAAGATTCATAAAATTGTTTTTGAGACCCGTTTCACAGCCAAATAAAGCACACTAAATGGATTGAGTTGTGGCTTTTCAGTGATTTGGCTTGGAATTCAAGGAGAATACTTGACAGAAAAAAAGAACAGCAGGTCATAGACTTTGGAAGGTGGCGAAAATGGTTGAGGTCACTGGGTTAGGTTAAAGTTAAAAAATGTGTAAAAAAATCCTAAGTAGCTTTGGAAAATGAGAAGTACATTTTTCAGGTGCAAAGACCATGACCTTTAGTTAATAGAAGAATCTAACAGCATGAATGAGGAACCTTTTTTTGTAGCATCATATTGTAGAGCATGCATGATTTAGAAACTGCCTTAGCCAGGCTTTTATTTCAGAACCACAGTGCTAAATAACCATCAGTGGTCACACTCACCTCTCTGTACATCTTGTAATTTTTGACAGTAAGTGGGCTTGGTGTTCAGAAAGGCCTCTGGCAATCGATATCACAGCTGAATGTTGTGCTTTGTGAAAAGCAACTTGTTGCTCTTGTCTAATATTATTAAACGCTTGTGTGTTTAATTATTAGTGAAGCCAGACTAGAAACTCAGATCCTTATTTTCTTACTGATGAGTAAAGAGAGTGTTGCTCAAACATAGGAATTCTGAGCTTTAGACAATTTTCTACAGGATTTAATCCTTTAGTCTGGCTTCCTATGCAGCATATTTGCTAAGCTTGTTTTAGCTTTGCTTTAAAAAATTATGCTTTTAGTTTTGGGATGAGAAAATATCTTCCTGTGGGGAAACTAAGTTTTAACTTTACCTGACATTTAAACAACATTTTCAGTACAGAAATAAGTTTGGTAGAGTTGCTACCTCTCTTAAATCCTTTGCAAAGCACTGTGCTCTGAGTTATTCCAAGCATCTTATTTTCCAGTCTTTGTGTTTAGGAAGATTAATGGGAAGTTTTTTCTTTAATATAGTTTTCAATCTGACCAGATTTCCACCTCTGAGTCCCTCAGATTGTGGGGCACAGTTTGTGAAAGCAATAGCAGTACACAGGACTGACTCCTTCAGTCTTTCCTCAGAGAAAGAGCCTCAGGGCTACAGACTGGGAGAAGAAGAGACCAACCTGTGACTGGGTCTTTGGGGTCATGGGTGGCTTTCCTTTAGTTTTGTCAACACACCTGACAGTATGGGGTTTTAGGCAAGGTCTTTTACTTACACAGAGTCTACGTCTAAGTTGTTTACTTCGACTTTCTTTAGGGTGACTGTTGGACAGTAGAATTTTCTGAATAACTGAGTGTAATTCTCTTGTGCAGTAATGTGAAATACGTTAAGCTTTAGACTACAAAGATGTGTAGAGCTGGGAGGAGCATGAGAATTTTTCTTTTGGACTTGCATTAGGGTTAGGTACAGCTAGATGACTGCTTAGCTGATTTTCACCTAATGCACTCAGAACTCTCCAACAGTAGGAATTCTGTTTTTTCTAGATACGCTATCTGAGTGCTTAGTTATTCTTTCAAACTTGGTTTCCCTAGTGTCTAATTTAAGTCCTTGTGTAATCATATACATATGTGTAATCAATATATTCCAGTCTTAGTCACAGCTCCCTGTGGACATTTTGAGGTACTTGCACTCCTTGCTCCTAGTCCTCTCTCTTTAATAGGGATAAAGATAGCTATTTGGCTTTTCTTATAGATTAAGTCTTTTAGTCTTCTTGCAGTCCTCTGGAATCTCTCCCATTTGTGTACTTCACAGTTCATTGCAGGAGACCAGACAATATTTCAGCTGGAGGATTCATCAGCACCAAGTAGAGCAGAATAATTATCCTCTCTTTATTACAGAGATATTCTGTCACAAATAGTCCATGTAAATAGCAGTTGTGAAGGCATCCAGTCCTCGGAGGCCACCACTTCCAGTTACTCACAAAACTATTACTGTCACCTCTTTCCTCCTTGCATGACATGAAGTTCCATCACAGTGCATTTCTTTATTGCTTACATTTTACTCATTTTAAATCTTCTTCCTGAACTGGACTAATTTGTCGAAAGACTTTTGCAGAACTACCCTTTCCTTCAAAGACTACAAAGGAAAAGAAAGTAGCCCTTTTCTCTGAATTTCAAGAAACCCGAGTGTTGTATGAGGTGGCCCTGGGCTGATGAGGCTTCCCAGGTATAATGAATCTAGGCTGTGTTTTCACCTCAGCCCTTGGCTGCCTGCTGGTGCAGACTCTGCTGTAGTGTGATACCTTCAGTAGTATCACTACAGCACTGCCTTATTTGTACTAATTGCATGGTTGCTGTAAACCCTTGAAAAGCATCTAGGCGTTTATTCCATGGGAAGCATACTTACCATCTCTGTATTTGATTATACCTTCCTAAGTGTAGTTATTTTCATTTTGTTAGTTTCTCCAAAGTAAGATGGTTTTGAATCTTGCCCTTCAGAGTGTTTGCCTTCCCAAAACTGTGAATTATAGAAATTATTGTTACTTCATCATCCAGGCAGATAATGAAGCTGTCAGATGAAGTTTCATTAATGATTGGCCCTGCATGACCTCAGCTGGGGTACCCTCTCAGTTTTATTGCAAACTGCTGGTAACTCTTAATACTGTGTCAGAGGATGGTGCCCTCCATTTCCCAGTGATTACATCTGGGCTGTGCTTCCCTTGCTTGTTTGTGAAAGGAAACA